GAATTGATTATTTGAAGGTCAGATACCGGTGCTGACTGAGGCCCTGAGGTGAGAAAGTAGATATATGCCCCCAAACAGATTTGATTCCATAAAAGATAAATCAACTTGCAGAGTGTCTGACTGGTCTTCTTGAGGGACAATGCTGTAGGGAACTCACCTTGGGTCTCTCTGGCTAATACATTAGATTTTGGCCTTAGTAAGTGGAAACCCATGGTGTGGGGCCCATGTGTAGCTTCCTTTGCTGTTACCATAGTCACTCAGTTCCTGATAGCAATGTGCCACCACTAGGCGGAGTGGCTGATTGATGAGCTGCCTGACATTGATGGACCAGGTCATTCTATCTACTTGGTCACCTTGTGCCTCCYCCATAGTGGATGCTTTCTAGGGGAGAAGCAGCTAATTTCCCTTCTCACAAAGTTTCCATATCTTTCTGAGTTCCTGTCCCATGGAGGAGTATGTATCTTTTTGGAGGGGCTCACACATTGCTTCATTTGCTTCTCACAGATCAGTGAAATCCAGGATCTCTCCTCCATCCTGAGAAGTGATCTGCTCAAGGCCTACACAGGATTATAGAGGTTATATACCATGTAACTTATAGTCAATTATTCCTAGAATGGCCTTGAACAAAGAGCAAAGCTTTGTCAGTTCCCCCCACTATTCAGTGTATTTTGTTTTTCAGTCCTGGAGACAGAATAGAAGTTCAGTCTCAGTGTTAGTATTCATATGAAGAATACTAACCTACTGGATGTCCATAACCTTTCAGAGCCAGGAGAATGCATCCTCAGCAACCTCTGATATCAAAAAGATACAAATAATAACCTTAACCATGTTTCCCTTTCACTCATTTGTTTGTTAAACGCTTAGGACCAGAAGTTTCCAAACATAAAAACTGCACCTGTAGCTAAGTTCTCCAGTTCTTGATGAGCTGCATGCTAGTCCCCCGGAACCCTTTCCTAGGGGTCTTATCTGCCCAGCACTGAGGGAGGCTGGCCATTCTACCCTAAGCATTTTGTAATAAATGTACCTCAATGATAYTTTTAAAAAATTAAATAATGACATTTGTTAAAACAACACTGAGCTACAAACTTAAGATATATGCTCTTTGCTATATGTCTGTTTCACTTTGGTAAAAAGATTTCTGCAAAAAAAAAAAAAAAAAATACTGCACACCCAGTCCCAAAGGTGCTATAAGAAAGAAAAAGTCCCATTCCTTGCAAGGTTTCTGGAAGGGTCCAATAGACATTGAATAGAAATGAACTGGTTATAAATAAATAAACTTAAAATATCAACATTTCTGCTAAGAGCTTCAGTTAAGAACACCATGTACAAATTTTCTACCCCTGAGCAAATGGAAAAGACCTATTTTTCARATAGATTCAATTTCCCAGTGAATGCCAGGTAACTTGCCAAATATATTTAAAATACTATGGGTCCTAACTTCTGGATCCAGGTTCCGGTTTTATCACCCATTAGCTTGTGATCTTAGAACAATTTGCCTCCACTTTATGTGTCTAATTKTCCCCATCCCTAAAAACCAGGATGTAATTCTTCTGGCAACACACACAGTAGAAGCTGGCTCTTGTGGGGAGGGATGCTGAACCTCACTTTTCTTATCTGTAAACTGAGGAGATAGTAGACCTTTCTTGTTCTGTCCGCACAGTCTCTATTCCCCCCATCTCCTGGTAATAACATTCCCATTATTTAAGAAATGTCTCCTTCCTCCTCCATGTGGTTCCAGTTTGGAAGTATCATTACCACTGTAGTAATGGCAGGGACACCTAGCCAGGGGAAAACTAATGACAGAATCTTGAAAGGACCTAAGGCCACCCAGACATCAGAATAAGATGTGAGTCAATGCCATATATCTGGGAAGGTACCAGATCTTGTCACGAGATATGGAAAATCCTGACACTCTAGAATTTCTCTTTCTTTCAAGAATACATATGAAAAAGTCCCCTTCTTTGCTTAAAAACATCAACGACAACCCTAAACCACCCCCAAACAAAATTAAAGACCAAAATCAAAAACAAAATCCTTTCTCTCAATTCCACTAAGGACTGGTGTTCCAGGGAGAGTAAACCATCTCTGACTTGATTCTAAAATCACGTCTTAAAGTTTGGAGAGGAGCCCAAAGGGAGAATAAAGGAACTACCAAGGTCAAGTTAGGAAGGGTCATTATGTGTGCCATTGTCCAAAACAGTTCTCTGAGGTCCAAATGGCAATTTTTGAAAAGATGACCTTAACTGAAGCAAGGACAGATTTATAGCCACCCAAGAAAAGAGATTGTCACTTGCCAGACCACTAAGTGGTGAACCAAGGCTAGTAACAGTGTCTCCATAATAGTGTCTTCTAGGTTATAGGATCAAACCCCCCCTAACCCCACCCCTTCATTCCTAGGAGTCTATTGAGCTGGACACCTAAACTTGACCTTCTCTCCGTCCAAAACCAAGACACTCCGTGATGGGAGAGTGGAAGTGGGGTCTTGAGTACTCCTTTATGATATTATTTTTTCTGAGGTTCACTTTTCTTTGGGCAACCATAGTTACTTCTACTAGTTGGGTGGTGGAGCCAAAGAGAACCACAAAGGAAGGGTTAGGATGTGCAGATGGTCCCTGACTTACAATGGTTTGACTTACAATTCTTGACTTTATGATAGTGTGAAAGTGATACAAAATTCAGGATAAACCATACTTCAAATTTTGAATTTTGATCTTTTCCCAAGCTAGCAGTATGTAGTGAGATAACTCTCTTGTGAGGCTGGGCAGTGGCAGCAGGAAGCCACAGCTCCAGATCATGAGAGGAAACCATCATGCCCTACAGTGTGCTGTGCTGCTGAGCTAGGACCTTTTGCATTTCTGTCTTAACAATATTTCAACTAACGACGGGTTTGCCAGAGTACAAATCCATCCTTAGTCAAGAAGCAACTGCAAAAACATCAAGTGGCATCTGTGAGATCATGCGACAGTGCAACAAGCTCTGGCGATGGCTGGCTGGCTATGTTTGTGGTCTGGTGCTTTTGGGGTGTTCYTTGGGAACATGTCAGTATGCCAGATTGAGGTCAGGCCTAAGGGCTGACAAATCAAGAACCCTGGAAAATTGCCTGGCAGTTTGGGGAGCTCAACCACACAGACTTGGCTAAGTCTGCCCCAAACAGTAAGGGCCCAGGAAGAAGGGAGGATTTTATTTTTCTCTGCATAGCCTTATAAACTCTTTGGATTATTTAGCTAGATCATTATAAAAAGAAAATTCAAGAAATTTCCAAAAAAATATATTGTACAGTTTTGAGTCATTAGAAAATTATTTCTTCTTCTTTTCCTACTTACTTAATGTCTGTAAGATTAGACACTTGTCTTTGGTAGAGGTCAGAGGAAAGTTGTTCCACAGAGAGGGAGTCTTCTGGGTAGTCTTGTCTCTTTCTGTCTTGCTCTGTATCTTTTTAATTAAGTAGCTGCTGATCAACAATGGCTTTCTCTAATTGGGGGATGAGGTTGGGTCATTAGCTAAATACCAATCATCTGCTGCTGTGGATTGGATGAGGTAGTCTTCAAAAGTTCTTGTGTTAAAGGCCTGATCTCCAAGGTGGTGCTGTTGTGGACCCTTAGGAGGAGGGACCTAGTGGGAAGCCCTTGGGTCACTGAGGGTRTGCTCCCAAAGGGGATTGTAGAATCCCAATCCTTCCTCTCTTTGCTCCACCACACATTTCCACCATGATATACCATCCTCAACAAAGCAATGAAGCCACTTGGTCTTGCACTAGAACACCCAGAACTGTGAGCCAAAATTAATATTTTTCTCTTTATAAATTAATTGTCTTGGGTACCTCATTATAATGACACAACTAATACAGAAAACAGGATGGGAGCAGGAACTTAGGTTCATGTGGACTGGAACAAARGGAATGGTGAATGCCCAGGTTTGTCATAATTCTGTTGATCAATCCATTGTCGGAAGAAAGGAAAAGAATAATGAATGGGGCAGGATCTCATGTACTAGGTCATGCCCTGAGGAAATGCCATGCAATCTGGTGTCATCAGATCATTTTACAAGTAAGGATATGTACCCAGATACACGATCAGAAATTGACAGAATGTCCCAGCGAGATTTGGAGCAGATAGAGTCATGTACTCTAAACCACTGGCAGGAGATTTGTTCCAGACCAGACACCACCAAGAACCACAATTGTGCCTGTATCGTTGTCCTTAAGAGAAGCTCCATCGCTAAACCAGCTCTTCTATCCCCCCAATCAAATGAGCCCTATGTGGGGCTGAATTCCAAATCATACAACTTGGGAACACAATAGTCCTGAAAGAAAATATATCAAGGCTGAGGAATATTATGGTCAAGTTGTATAAGGGAATATTCATTGGTTATATCTTAATCTCAGTGCTATCTGGGTTTTTTTTTGTTTGTTTGTTTGTTTTTGTTTTTTTTTTTTTATCAAAGCAAAACCCAGTCTTTGGTGGAAAAGTGTCATCTAGTTATTCAAGTTTTTTTTTTTTTTCTTCAAAGTTTCAAAATAGGGTTGCCTGGACATTCCCATTCCTCCTTACTTCCCCCTAGGACTTACTAAGTAGAACCAGCTAATCCCACTTCACCCTTTGGCACTTTTTTTTTTTTTCAGAAATCAGTGTGGGTGTTAGAGAGATCCTGTTCCCCTAAATGTGTGGTCACTCTTCCCCCAGTGGTCAGAATCTTGATGCAGACAGCATGAAGAGTGCTGCATGTAGTTCCCTGCCTTGAATATGTCTGCCTCCTATTTATTTATGCAGAACATTGACTTCATAAAAATTCTAGACCTCCATCCACAATTGACAAACTGAAGAAAAACCTCACATACAGAATGGTTTTATTCTGCATTTAATYAGCATTTGTTGATGGCAGCATAGTTTGTTCTTTTTAGATGTTTCACTCATAGAATTTACAGTATGTTTCTGGTGTGCCCATAGCTGGCATGCACTGATGCTGCAAGTGGATCTGAAGCCACCCGAGACCTGCTGCCATTAGAACTGAAGAACCGTCTTGACGACTTCAACWTAGTGGCCGTCTGGGGGCGGCTTCCTCTGACTCCCATGCTGGAGAAACTTCTTAATTGTAGGAATGTTGCTGATTCTTGTTTTAAATGCCTGAACAAGAAATAGTAAAATCAGGGCCTCCATAGATCTCATGACCTTTAAGAAAAATCAGAACTTTGTCACAAGAGGACGATGCTTAGACTTTAGTATGCAGAGCCTGGTGTATTGAAACAGGGTCAATCCTTCAATGCATTTCTGGATGTTCCTGGGAGAGCGATGCCATTGCAGTGTACTGAGCATGAGTTATCTTAATAAAAAGACATTGTCACACTCAGGCAGTGCATATCAAAAACTATAACAGGGGCTGGAGATGTGGCTCAGCGGTAGCGCGCTCGACTGGCATGCGTGCGGCCCGGGTTCGATCCTCAGCACCACATACCAACAAAGATGTTGTGTCCGCCGAGAACTGAAAAATAAATATTAAAAATTCTCTCTCTCTCTCTCTCTCTCTGTCTCTCCTCTCTCACTCTCTCTTTAAAAAAAAAAAAAAAAAACTATAACATATTCATACTTTTTACCTATCAATTCTTGTTGTAGGAATTTATTATACGAGAATAAGTAGGGTTGTGAGCAAGGAAAATAGTTATCAGAATTTTAACAGAAAATAATCTATATTCAGGAAGGGGAATTGTTTACATAAACAAATTGTGATATGTATATAAATTATATTTCTACAAGGAATATAAGTCAGCAATTTAAAATTATATTATATAACAAGAAACAGAAACAGAAGTTCCCTGTGTTGATGGGGAACATCTCTGGAATGTATTTTTTAGTTAAAAAAAAAAAAAACTGGAGCAGAACAGAATATATAGTACTTTATATAGAGTATACGAAAGTGGAGGATGAAACAAAAATATATTTTCATATTTGCTGATATCTGCATAAATAGGAGCACTGAAAGGATATGCAAAATTCTGTAAAAATGATTACGGAGACAGGAAAATGGGATGGCAGTGGTGGAAATGAGACTTCTCAATTTATGCCCTTTTTATATAGCTTTCATTCTTCCAAAAAAAAAATTATTCCATTGCCCAGTGAAAATAAAAGTATTGCAGAAGAAAATTTGTTTATAATTGAAAAGAATTTTAAAAGCAAGCCACAAAGCAATATTTGGCATAATCCTATTTTAAGAAAAATAATAACAATAGATCAGGAAGTCTCATGCCCTCATGCCAGTAACATTTGGCTGGAGGGATTATAAATCTTTTTTTCCCCTTTTCTTCTTTTGATTAAGGCAAATGTATATCATAGCTACATGAACTTGCATTTCTTTTATAATAAGAAAAAATTGGGGCTGGGGATGTGGCTCAAGTGGTAGCGTGCTCGCCTGGCATGCGTGCGGCCTGGGTTCGATCCTCAACACCACATACAAACAAAGATGTTGTGTCCGCCGAAAACTAAAAAATAAATATTAAAAATTCTCTCTCT